CCCAGGCAGGCGCCCCAGGCCGCCCGTCGCCCGGCCATGCCGCTCCGATCGCCCCGCCCTCTGCCCCCGACCGCCAATCACCAGCCCCTAGCTCACAAACGCTGGCCAATAGGAGGCTTTCTTCCGCCTTCACTGCAAGGCCTGTTGGGAGTTGGAGTCCTCCCTGGCCTTGACAGCTGTGTCCGGAAGTTTGACAGCTGGAGCTGCTGCGCCTGTTCCCAGCCCTGGGCAGAGTGTGGGGCCCAGTGAACCCAGAGCTCCCTTGGCAGGGGGCCTGGAACAATTTGTATAGTGGGAGGAGGGGCTGAGAGCCACTGAACCAAACTACAAGCTGCTGTCATTAGCAGCAGGAGGGCAAGATCTGTTTTCTACAACACAGCTTTTAGTGACAAGGCTACGTCAGCAAAGTCAGGCTGGGTGAATGCTGTTTGTCAGCACTTTTTCTGACAAAATAATTCCCGCTGACAAGGTAGCATTCATACTTTCAAGTGCCACTACAAAACTTTGTCATTTATGGGGTTTTTAAAAGCATTCATGAATGACAAAAGTTTTGTTGATCAAGTGAGTGTGTAGACATATGTAACTCAGTTCACGCAGGTAAGTGCAATTGCAGTGTACCTCTTGGGGCCAGCAGACCAGAAAATCCAGCTATGGCATTAGCACTACTTCTAAAATGAGACAAAGCTTGAGAAAGAGACACCCTTTGCTGATAACTAACCATGTGATTTATACAGGACAGTGGTGCAGCATGGATTCCATAATAGCAACAAATTCTGCAAAGGTATAGAAGTATACTGAGACTCTAGGATAGCACTGGAGGCATGCCTAAAGCTTTTATCCCCAAAGTAGCAAGTAGAATTGGCACAAGGGTTCTTGGAAAGTGTACTCCCAAATTAGTAGATAAAGCATATAATCAGTCATATATTGTTTATTATAAAAAAAAAGAACCAAACCAATATTAAATTAAATAAATTACACAAACATTTTGAGCTGGTTATGCATCATGCAGGTATCAAATAAGGCTTCAAAGTCATTACATATTAATATCACTAGACTTTCAGAGACATAACAGGTCATTGGAAGTTTAGAATTTTCCACCCCCAATGGACTCTCTGAGTTTCTTTAGTTCCCTTGTAAGACACCCTGGAAATGAAGCTTTCTGAGCTGGCCACATAGAACCATTGGAAGAGAAATGCAAGTCATGCCAACTTATCATTCTGTTTTGCTCAGATCGGTGAATGTTGCCTTCCAAACTAACATTCTAGAAGCCATAGGCTTGTCAAGGCTCTGCATCTAAAACATGAGTGCTACTCAGTAGCAAAATGGTGACAGGAGTTTTGCCTTAAAAAATACCATCTGTCAACTGCTGAGGGAATCATTTGTCACCAGAATTGGCACAAAAGAAGCCAAGTATCCCTCTGAGTCTTCAAGGTGGCATGGTATGTAATGGTTGCCACTACTTTCATGGCACCATTCTTGACATCCCATCAGTCTTGCTGCTAGGAACTGCAAAGGTAACAATACATCTTTTGCACAGGGATTTGCCACTCGGAGGTTCCTTCTGCTTGAACTGATACATTTTGGCTATCAGGCCTATAGGACTGTGAGCTGAATCTGTAACAGATTCACTCTGATTCCTGAATTGCTGCTAGGGATATCACCAATTCAGAGTGAGGTTACGGCAGAGCTAGATATATTCATTCATTAGAATGACAAAGACCCTTGTTCCATTGCACCAAGCTGTTTGTTTATTCAAAACAGCAAGAAGGAGGAATGTTCAGGCAGCAGAGAAGTAGATGGAGAGGAATTAATTACAGTGCATTAGTTTCAAGGATAATTTGAAAGAATTAATGTCCTGATCTTAGCTTGTAGGACATGACTGTTCCACCAAAATTATGTGTCTCACTAAGCTCAAAAGGAGAAGTGTGATTTTAGTGTGTTCTTCTCCCAGCTCAAGAAAACGTTCTTCTATTTATTTAATAACTTTCTCCTGGGCCATGTAATCAGAGACTGAGGCAGAGCAGCAGTGACTTAATTAATGAGGTGTCACACAAAACTCGGGCAGTTCTGATGGAATGGAATGTTTGCCTAGTCTTGATGAGTCATGCAGCTCTATTTTCATTGCAATTGGGGCATCATTTATCTCGGAGCCACCGTACAACTCTATTTTCTTTCCCCGATAATGTTATCTCAAAGACCCTTTTATCAGGGTGGCTTAAGAGTGTTTTATAAATTAAACAGATTCAAAACCATGTATTAAAACACAAGTGTTATTAACATCTTAAGTGATTAGATCAGAAATAACTTTTTAAAATCAAGTTTCCTTTCCATTATTAAGACCATTATTTATTTTTTCATTCTGGAAAAACAGACTGGTCAGTTTCATATTTGTTTCTACTCAGATTTGTTTGTTGGCCTTTATGTTTTATCCCACTGCTGGAAACACGGCAGGGGAAAATTTAAACTCCAGACAAACAACTGTTTTCATCAGAACTTTAAAAAGATCATGCAGTGAATTCTGCTAATTTTAATTTTTGTAAAATTGTTTTTTACAAAACCTAATAAGTGTCCATTTAATCCTCAACATGCTATATATTTTTTCAGCATTTACATATACTTTTAATGCATTCCCTGTAATCATAGGCTTCAGAGAATCAATATGGGGCTGAAAAGGCAGAACTATAATAGAAAACTAAAATAGCAAGTTATTAGCATCACTCACACTTTTATATATAAAAGTATTATGTTTTGTATTTTTTTTAAAGATATCATCTGTCTGTCTATGGGTTATCGAGTAAGGCTTTTTTGCCCAAGAGGTAGGTTGTCTTGATAGCATCAGTTTGTGGTGATTTTTATTCAAATTCATCTAGTGCATGAGGGACCAGACACCATAGCAAACACAGCAGAGGAAGTTTCTCTTCTCTTTTAGGTGATTTCCTAAAATCTCTTCAGTTTGAAGCTCCAAGCTTGGAGAATTTAGTGCTGGGTATCACAAGAGCTTATTGTATCACAAGAGCATACAAAATGTGCTCAGATTTTAATTACACTGCTCCTGAATTACAGCATCATCAAAAGCCACTGCACTTATCTGAAGGATCTCTCTCTGCCTGTCTCTGAATTTGTGAGGGGTGGGCAAACCAGCTAGGAAAAACTATAGCTGAGTCTAAACCAAACTTTTTAGTGATGTCCAGGTCCTGAGAATAGGAAGAGGAAACATCAAAAATACCACAGGAATAGCTACTCTCATGATATCTCTTAACTAAAGGCCTAGCGATGAAGGCCTACATAAAGTACAAGGCAAGATTCTCCTTTATTTCAATGGCCTTGAATCAGACCCTAATTCTGTCAGTGCTTTGAATACAATTTAAGTACCCAAACTATTCGGAAGGCCAGTGTATGCATATAACTCCTGTTAGAGCAAGTAGGAGCCGTTGGTCCTGTTAACTAACGGAGCCTAACTTCCCAAAATAATCTGTGCATGTAATACAGAATGCAGCATTACTTCCATGCAGTGGGATCAAGGATGTTAGGCTCACAGAAAATGCAGCACCAGTCAGTTAATGGTACCTGATAGTAGAGAAGACAGCACAGGAGGGCCTGTAGGGTGATAGAGACTACAGAGGTGGTTCTGGGTGGCAACCCCAAGCAATTCAGAGGCTTATCTTCAGTGTGCGGGATTCCTAAAAAGTCACTGCACATTTTAAAATATTATCACCATGCAAATGTGTGTCACTTCATCTTGAGAGGATTATTTCTGGTTGTGAATCAAAGCCAGGAAACGCTCGTCACATTTCCATATATTTCACCTCATTGTAAAAAGAAAGCAAAATAAAGGCGGTGTCTGTGTTATGCAGTCCATACGGGTGGGTATGCGAGTAGCTTCTGGAGGAGGAGAGATGGAGATAGGGTTGACAGTGATGACTAATATGAATAATCTTTCTGCTGTGAGGCACTTGCCATTAAAGTTGCTGCTCTTCTGCAGCTAGTTGAACAGTATTTCCTGAGGTCCTGGTTCCTGTTGTGTTATGCGACCTGCTCCAAGAGTCCATTGCTCTGAATTGCACACACACGGGAGGAGGAGAGAGGCTGTCGGGAAGAAAAGTGGCCCGTTGCCTCGCAAACTCATTGCTACACCGGGCTGGAAGCACGGAAAGGCTGTATTGTGCACAGTCCAAAGGGGGGACACTTCTTCATAAAGGAATATGTCTGTTCCGGAGGCTGTGCTGGCACTTGGACATTCCCCCGTGTGCTCACAGAGCCGTCTGGGCCTCCGAATGGAACATGGTTCCGAACATCTCCTAAATGGACAAGAGCGTTTGATTAGGGTGGTACTAGTGACTTACATGTGCTGGTGTCCAACCATATGGTCACTGCACTTGTTCTCCCCGCCCCTTCTTTGCACCTTCTTTATTTCCTCTTGAATTTTATACTGCAAGAGGGAAGATTATTGGCTTTGGGGTGGCTTGGTTCAGAGGGTTCCCTTTGCATTGTTCACTAATAGGCTGAAAGGGGGCTGGAAATCCTTTTCGAATGACTGGCTTTCTCGGGCTAGACCCACAATAGCAGCAAGCAGGCAGGGGTCTAGACTAGCTGCCAGCAACTGGCGCCCTAGGCGAACCATGCAATCGGCGTCCTCACCTCCAAACCCCTCAATGATATTGCGCCACCATTTGGCGCCCCATTTAACTTGGCGCCTTAGGCGACTGCCTAGTTCGCTTATATGGATGGGCCGCCCATGCAAACAGGGTATTCCCATAAAACAAAGTCAGTGGAGGTATTCTGAGCTATGCCAGCTGCAGACTTGCACTGAAACCTAGTGATAAGCCTCATGCTCCAGACTCTCCAAACTCTGGGGCCCGCCAGGATTTGAACATTGTACTGCAGGCCCGTCTCCAGTAGAAACCCAGGAGTTTCTGTACTGGAATCGCCCAGTAGCCCATTTCATTAGGTATCCTGTGACACTGGCCAGGTAGGGTTGCCAGGTGTCCGGTATTGAACCAGACAGTCCGGTATTTTCCCCTCCTGCTTGGTAAAAAAATTCAGAAAATACCGGACACCTAAAATGTTTGGCATTTTCTGATTTTTTTTCCCAGACAGGAGGCGAAAATTCCAGGTGCTTACTGGGTTCCGCAGGGCAGTTTTCCGGCCTGACACAGGGCAAGAAGATGGCGGATGGCTGCCAGCAGCCTGGTAGGACCCAAAAGCCTCAAAAGCGTTTCTTAAAGGGGCCACGCTGTTTTTTATTTATTTTTTTTATTTTTTTGCTTAACTCTTGGGGTCCTTTTTTTTTTTCCCTGGTATGTTAGAAACCATCTGGCAATCTTATGGCCAGGGCCTGATGATTCAGATGAAGACAAATACCATCCACCTCCACAGTGTGTCATACTGCACCATGCCGGGGGAGGTTTTCTTTCTGTCCCCACTCCTCCAAATGTCTTCGTGGAAGCATGAGGACTGATTGCCCACCTGCCTCCATGCTTAGGAGACATAAAATGCAGCAGACACAGTAGCAAAAGATAAATGCGTTTCTCTTCAGAGGAAGGCCAGTCTTATAGTTAAGGCATGAGGCGGGCAGCTGTTGATACAGGCTCAGTTCCTGCTGCTGCCACAGACTGACCTCCCTGTGCGGCCTTAGGCCACTCGTTCTATGCCTTAGCCTCCTGTCTGCACACTGCAGAACGCCACTCCCTGGCTCCCACCTTTGGTCTGTCTCATCTATCGTGGTTCTAAGCTCCCGGGGCAGGGACGACTTATGCGTAGGTACGGTTCCCAGCACAATGGGGCGTCCGTCTTAGTTGGGTGCTACCACAATACAAAGGGATTCCTGGTTCTACCCACCTCCTCTAGGTTCTTGAATTCGGTACTGCTTTCGTCTACAGATTCATCGTACATGGAGAGCTCTGTCTGACTTGGTTTCTGCATGGAAAGAAGTCATAATCAATGATTAGCTGGCATAGGACTGAACGGGATAAAAATGTAGCTAACCCGAGAACAGCCTATGAAGTTGCCCTATATAGCTTAGGAACACAAATTACTATTGGACTTGGTCCTGGACTCAAACTCAAACCCAAGAAAACAGATACAGGGAATGTTTGGGCAAGTGCATTGGTCCTGATTTGCATTTACATTACTACACCACATTGTTTACTTTCACAGCCACTTTGTGAGCCCTTGAGGCTGTGAAAGCAGTATAAAAGGCATTAATGTAAATGAGAATCATACCTATTGCCCAGGGCCATCCTTACCCATACACATAATATGGCACCTGAAAGTTTGGGGCACCGCTGGGTCTTAATGTCCACCCTGCCTCCTCTTCCTATCCCTGTTCTGCGGTTTTGCTACCTCCAGAGAGGATCAAGTGGATTTAAAAGTGACAGCCTGCCAGAGCTATTAGCAGAACAACGTAACTGTGAAAGAGCCATTCGAGTGGCAGTGAAGCCATTTAACAGGCATTTGCCAACCCCAGGTAGATACTATCAGTTTCAATGTACTGTGTGAGTGGACAGGACCTCAGTTTAAAATTTATTTAAATATATTTAATTAGTGCATTGCTGAAGATCATAAAATCACGTCTTTAAAAATCACCATCCCCCTGGCTGCCATGGGACATAGGGTTAGGGATATAGGGGGACCAGTTTAATAGCACTGTATGACCCTACAAGACTCCTCCAACATTTAGATTCAACAAACCCAACTCAGAAAGCGTCAGTTGTTTCCGTGTCTTACATCACAGTGGTAGCCAGGTGGTTTCACCTTCAGCAAATCTCTTAAAAAGCAAATAATTGCTGTGTGGCAGTGATAAGGTCTTTCCAGTGTCAGCCTAAGATTGGGACTGCAGAACTTTTTATCAAGTGTCGCAATGCAAATAAGTTGGCTGGGAGCAGCACCGGGCTGTGAGCGTCGAGATACAGTGTAGGCAAGGGAGAGGTCAGACCACAGTTCAGGGAAGAGTGAACGGCCAGACTGGTGATCAGAAATGGTCACGTAAAGCTGGCCAAGACACTCTGTCAGTCTGCGTTCATATGCAAGGGTTCATCACGGTCGCAGGGGTGAAAGTCAGGCACTGTGCACGGTGTGCTGCTCCAGTAAGAGCTGGCTGGGGCACTCTGCTGCAAGAGGGGCGGCCACGCTCCCCGCTGGGCTCCTGGGTCTTTTCTGCAGGCTGCCGCACTAAGCAGAAGGCAGGTGGAAAGGGGCTGGCTGGAGATGGACCCACACCAGTTCCCCAGGGTGATCTTTAGGGAGCGCAAGAGGGTTATGCCCCCCGATTCCTATCAATGCTGGTTGTTGCTCGCTGTTCTCCTTCCATCACTATCTGGGAGTGAGAGGAAAGCACCCAGTCTCCCTGCATTCCTTTCCTTCCTGGCTGGTGAGGGCAGGGGGCAGAGGAATAAGTGACCCATGCTGTGTGCTTCCCTCTGGCTCCCTGGCAGTCCTGGGAAGGGGAACAGCAAGCAATTGACCTTCATATGCAAATCTGACACTGTTTCCCTGGTCTTGAACAAACACATTCACTGGATGTCGCATTATAAAGCCAGCCTGCCCTGCATTTAACACCTCATTGACATCAAAACCTGAGTATGGGACCCTCTCAGCCCACTCAGTTAATCTCATTAGCACCAGCACTACAATTGACAGCTACTTGTTTCCTCCTCCCTTTTTTTTTCTGTTACAAATTCTGGGTTCCTGTCATTTCCACTCCAGCTCATCTGAAAAAGAGGGTTGTGCCCACGAAAGTTCATGATACTTTATATATTTTTGTGAGTCTCTAAGGTGCCACAGGACTGCTCATTGGTTTTAACTGCTACAATGTCAATGAATGATCAGAAAGGGAGTGTGTGGTGATGGGCAGGGAGGGGAACAAGACATCCCAGGATAATCATTATCATCATTCTTCTTCCAGGCTCACACTGACTGAGCCTACAGTCCGTCTGCTGCGTTTACAAATGCTGCCTCACCCCCCCCCCCCCCCACCAGCATGCCCGTAGCACTAGAAATACACTGGGAGAAGGGGCCCAAAGGGCAGACGTGTTTCTAAAGAGGAACGTCCCTCAGCAGCGTATTTCCCCTGGCTGAGCTGCTGTTGGCACACACGCACAGTGGCAAGGCAGGATGTTTTCACATGTTATCATGAGTTTTCACTGTTTCCATTCGAGTTACTATGCAATAACCGGCTGGTATCTTGCTAAATAACCTAGGTCACCCCTGTATTTACAGCTCGTGCCACATTGCTGTACGTCACTTTCCTTGCCCCTCCTGCTGGCAATGACTGGAGCTATTCCTGGGGAGGTGGATGTGTTCTGCCTCTAGTTACTAGGGGCTGAGCTTTGCTATTGTTTGCGTTTAAGCACAGGGCCGGCCTTAGGGCTGGGCAAGCCAGGCCCATGCTTAGGGCACCATAGGTAGAGGGTGAGGGGCAACTGGGCATGGGTGTGGCTGGGTAAAGCATGTGGAGGATACTGAGCAGGACATGCTGGAAGCGTGGGGCTGGCGTTGGGGGCAGAGGTGGGAGGAAAGTGAAGGGGTTGGGGTGAAGGGGGCACTGTGCAGAGGTTGAGGCAAAGGGGGAACAATGCAGGGTTAGTGGCAAAGGGAGCACAGGGTAGGGGAGCCCACGGGTGCCAGGGGAAACGGGGAGTGTTATGCCCTCAGGAGACAAGGGCACCAAAACACAGGTTTGCCCAGGATGCCATTTTCCCTCAGGCCAGCCCTGTTTAAGCATCCCCATTGACAGTCAGTTATGAGCAAAACCCTGCTCCTGGTTGCCTTGTGCAATGCTTTTGACTTCAACAGGGCTGGGCAGTGGCTCCCTGCCTGGGAGTCTGGTGTATATCTTGGGTCTCTAATGAAATAACTGAAGTAGGTTCTTATCCTCTCACGGGCCGTGCATGTGTGTCGCAGGGGCCAGCATGCAGCCCCGCGGTTCTGCACCATGCCGGGAAGCCCACGCTGTACCTTTTCTAAACCAGGCGAGCGGAAGTCTCCTCTGGCATTTGCCAGCGCAAAGAGAACAGCATCATGGATGGTCAAGAAGATGTGACTTTGGTCCAGCCCCCCTTCTTCGAAGACGCCGCCCGTGCTAATGTCGTGGTACACCTGGGCTGCAGAAGGGAAAAACGATGCTGTGAGTGAAGAGAAAGCTTCTGGAGGAGGAGTGGATGGGAAGCCAAAGATCTCTCTCCTGCCATCCATCTCCACCCTCTGACAAACAGAGGCTAGGGACACCATTCCTTACCCATTCTGGCTAATAGCCATTAATGGACTTAACCTCCATACATTTATCTAGTTCTCTTTTAAATCCTGTTATAGTCCTAGCCTTCACAACTTCCTCAGGCAAGGAGTTCCACAGATTGACTATGCACTGTGTAAAGAAGAACTCCTGCTGCCCATTAATTTCATTTGGTGGTCCCCTAGTTCTTATATTATGGGAACAAGTAAATAACTTTTCCTTATTCACTTTCTCCACACCACTCATGATTTTATAGATCTTTATCATATCTGCCCTTAGTCTCCTCTTTTCCAAGCTGAAAGTCCTAGTCTCTTTAATCTCTCCTCATATGGGACCCGTTCTAAAATTATTAGGAGTTTGGTTGCCCTTCTTTAACCTTTTTTAATGCCAGTATATCTTTTTTGAGATGAGGCAACCACATCTGTACGCAGTATTCAAGATATGGGCATACCATGGATATAAGGGCAATAAGATATTCTCCATCTTATTCTCTACCCCTTTTTTAATGATTCCTAACATTCTGTTTGCTTTTTTGACTGCTATTGCACACTGCATGGACGTCCTCAGAGAACTATCCACGATGACTCCAAGATCTCTTTCCTCATTGTAGCTAAGTTTGCTCCCATCATATTATATGTATAGTTGGTTTTTTTTCCAGTGTGCATTACTTTACATTTATCCGCATTAAATTTCATTTGCCATTTTGTTGCCCAGTCACTTAGTTTGGTGAGATCTTTTTGAAGCTGTTCACAGTCTGCTTTGGTCTTAACTACCCTGAGCAGTTTAGTATCATCTGCAAACTTTGCCACCTCACTGTTTACCACATTTTGCCTTTGTGTAATGAACTAGCTCAGTAAATCTTTTCTTCTTGCTACAGGCTTGCTTTATTCTCTGAGCTATTAAATCCCGCTTCCTAAAATAATCAGCACTGAGTGGCATGTGACAGAAACCTTATTGCATAGGAGATTTCCTGGTAGCATTGGGGAATATACTGCCAGGAACAATCCTGAATTAGTAATAGGAAAGCACTAGCCCATTGTAAAAGTCTTTCTTTGATTATCTGTGATTTCCTCCTTCTCCTTTCCAATGATTTAATATTAAATATATCTATGAATTTACATCTATATCTCGCCACCACACCCGTATCCGAGAAATAAGGGAACGAGCACAAAGAAATGTGCTATGCTTGGATGCTTACCATGCACGTTGGCCAGGAAAACTTTAATCCCAATCTTCTGATAGCTGGAACACACCTGGATGGGGGAGGAAATGGAGAGAGAGAATAATAATAATAAATAATTCTATTTAGTGATGTCCTGTGCTTATAAAAGGCTTTTCATCCAAGGATCTGCACCAATTTTCCTCACAAGCTGGAAGTGAGGAAGACAGGGGAAGTGACGGAGGGGTAACTGGATGTCCTTCGGGATGTGTGGTCCTGATCGGCATCCCACTGTATTCAATCTCACTGATGCACATGTGTAAACCCTCAGCGGAATACAATAGGGACCATCACTCGAGGACGAAGTATCCTTCTCCCCATTGCACGGAAGGGAAACAGAAGGGACTTGTCGAAGGAGTCACGCTCTGAATTCAGGGTGTGGAAGAGAACTAACCTTCCCCAAAGCTTTTGTGCCCATCAGATCCACAAAGCACACGCCGCTCATGTCCAGGATAATGGTGTGGAAGCTGACGTAGGGGGGTGCAGTGGTCATGGGGTCGACGTTTGCCGCTGGGATGACACTGCCGTTGCTGCCCCGGTGGCTCGCGATGCTGCCCAGCTCACTTGAGGTATTGACCTGCCCGGCGCTGTTGGCAGGTGGGTGGAATGTGACGTAGGAGATGCTGTTGCCGTTGGCGGTGGTTTGGTTATTGTTGGTGTCCGTCGGAGAGGTGATTTCAAAATCTTTCTGCAGCTCTTGCACGGACAAGGTCTGCAGCCAAACAAAGACAACAAGGTGAGGGGGTGGGGTGGTTATGAGCGTTCACAACTCACCTAGTGATTCCTGTGTCCACCCCAAATCTTCTGATTGAGCTACCACCTGTATGGGAGAAAGGCATCCCTCCCTCTGTCAGGCCAGTGTCATCCCTGCCACGTCTCTATAAGAGGGGGGAGCTTCCTTCTGTCTGCGCCCAAGGGATCAGCCAGTTTGTCAAACATCATCAGCGACTCAAACCACAAGCAGCACTCCGGCCACCAAGCCACGGCCACCTGGCCCATTCACTACCCTTGGCTGGGCGTTCGGGGTCCCTAGCAGGCAACAGGATATTCCACAGCCTCCTGGACCGTGAAATGAGCAGCCAAGGGGAGGGATGGAGAAGCCCTTAGGATCCACTCAGTAGGAGAACAGTGTGGAGGCACAGCAAGAGCTGATGCCGCCTCTGCTTCCTGGATCCTCTCTGTTGTCTTCCCTGGTACTATTTACTGTGTTCAAACTAGGGATGTAATAGTGTAGTTGATAATTGATTATCCGATAAGCAAAAGCTTATAGGTTAATGCTATAGACTATACGCACTGCCTTCCCCCCTCTCTGGGACAGGGGCTGCTGCTACCCTGTGCTGCTGCTTCTGTATCAGAGGCAGCAACACAGGGCATCAGGCAGTCGGTCCATTAGGGGAGCTGGTTTTTAAACTGGCTCCCCTCATGGACCAGCTCCTGCCTGGCACCCCACGTGGAGTGGCAAGGGGTCCTTGGGAGCGGGGCCGGAGTGCACTGGCTGTCAGCCCCGCCCCCGGGACTATAGAATAGTTCACTAACCGATAAGCTTTCATAAGGTTATGTGACTAATTGATTAATCGATATTTAACATCCCTAGTTCAAACACGGGAGGCCACTCTGACAACTTGCCCCCCAAAATTCCTTAAGGCTACACCAAATTTGCACATATCTATTCACAGACATTTTAATAATCCAGATGGAACCCATGGTGGCCATATTTGCCCCTTTCCATTGCTGATGTCAGTTTGCATTCGCTAAGCCATGCCATGAAAAGGAGACCAGAATACTAACGTGAGATCTATCCCTGCTGTCACAGGCCATGGGCTCGGAGGCTGGTCTTTTCTGCCCTAGACTCTCTGGCCAAATTGAGCAGCCTCCTGCTCCTACTCAACCCAATGGGACATTGACACCCAGTTTGGTGTGTAAATCACTGTAGCATGAGTCATGGGTCAGAGCAGGAGGAAGAGTCCCGGTGAGGTTGGAAACATGGACGTACGCGGGGCTATACCACAATCAAAGGAACCCAGTGTGAGTCACCTTGCTGTTCCTGAAGAACATTTTTTGCAGCTTCGGAGTTTTTTGTGATGCCGCCGCCTTCTCCTGGTGTTTCACGTATTTTTTCCTGGCTAAGTACACTTTGCCGGGGTCAACCCCCGTCTAGGGAGAAAGAGAGGCAGTGAGTTGGGTTTGTTGATGTAGCGCATCTCTCAGTGACCTGAGCTCAAGAGCCTTGTACCCATATATGAAAAACAGAAAGGGAAACTGACCACGACTTGTGCTGGCACAAGGTCCAACACCCACCTGCTGTAGGGAACTTATTCCCATTTCCTTAAATGGGAAACTTTGACAACTCAACGGATGGAGACTTCCCTTCTCTAGAGCACAGAATATGGAGGCAGCCAAACTAGAGGGGCTAAAATGGAATCAATTGTGCCCCCAGCTTGCGCACACCCCATTTCAGGGGTAGTCTCGGCCTCGCTGTGTTCACACTGCTAGCATGAGCCAGCTCAAATCCCACTAATGTGAGACTGTCCACCTGGGCTGGAAGGCTTGCTGCCAGCTGCAGTGCAGACACACTCTGAGGGGCTAAAGTCCCCAGCTCTCAGAGCAACCTGCCCAGGAGCACAGGTTGCCAAAGGAGAGACAAGTTTGGAACAGGCACCGGGAAGTCAGTCGGTGTACAAATGGCTGGAGTGCTAGAGGCCACTGCAGCACCTCTGTCTGGCTAGGATTTCTTACCTTTGCTATAACCTTCTCTCTGAATATCTCTGAGTTGGCAAAGTACAGCGGGGAGCAATAGGTCACAATTTTAATTCCGTCGAGTTCAGAGACCTGCAACAGACGTCAGAGTTCAGACTATGCATGACAAGCCTTGGCATAGGGTTGTTAGGTTGGGGCTTTTGCAACAAGAGTATAGGGTGGGATAAATGGATCTCACAAAGAAATCTCAGGTAACCTTCAATGTGTGCTTATTTGTAGGGAACAGAACTAGAGCGGGGCCAAACATTTTGGCTAGAACTTTTTTGGAGCGATAAATCCAGATGCGGCGACATTGAAATGTTTTGCAAATTCATGCCAGTTTCACCAAATTATTTTTGCCGGAAAAAACAAACAAACAAACAAAAAAACCTACCAACAAAACGTTAAATCAAAAAAATCAGGAAAACATTAAACCACTTCATGTTGACATTTTTTATACAAAAACTTTTGGATTTTTTTTAAACTCCAAATTAATTTTTGTTGTAAAATTGCTTTTAGTTTTTATTAAAAATCAAAAACATTTAAGAACAGAGAAAAGGAAAAGGAAACGTTTTGCTCTATCCCAAACAATTTTTTCTGGGAATTGGCAATGAACTGAAAAATCAGGTATTTGCACAGCTTTAGACACAAGTACCAGCTCCCTCTGTTTTTCCATGGAATAATAACGTAACCAGTGAACTAGCCCTTCAGGTGAGACAGATGGGTGGAAAACCTGGGGGTCTTCTGCTTAAAATGAGACAGACAGGGAGTAAATGAGCACAAAAGCCTCCACCAGAAAGAGCAGATCTAATGTGGTGGCTCTTAAAGTAAAAAACAACCCGACTGAGCTGAATCTGGAGAGAAAGTAACACAGCTTACATACAGCCTCTTTGGATCACTTATTGGCCTGGTCATGCAGGAATGAGAAACAGAGGGGCTTGCGTTTTTGCTTAGGGGATTTTAGCTTCCACTCTTACCTTATTGTAGTCTTTGGGGTTCTTGTAAATGTCGGTGGAAGTTAATTGACCCAGAGCGGAGCCATTACGACTAGGGAGGAAAGACGACAGATAGATTATATTTAAGACAGGGAAGAAAAATGCTGCTTCTCTTGCTGTCATGCAAGTGTGCCGCATACGAGGGTTCTTGTTTATTTATATTCTAGTAACACCTGGAGGCTCTCACAAGACTGGGTGCCTGATTGGGTTGGGTACTGGCAAGAGCAAGGTTCATTCACAAGGCTGCCCTGCTTTGTGGTTGAAATTCACTCTTGTGCCGAGGTCCAGCTGGAGGGCTATGCACCAGTGAAGGCCTATGCCGAGGGGCATAAGTAGCGTGTAGGTTTTGTGGCAGGCTCTGCACAAAGGTGGATTTCACCCTAATGAGCAGGGGATTCTTTAGGGAAGGTCACATGGAGCTGGTGTTTTTCTGAGCAGGGTAAATAGTTACAGAGTTACACCCACTTTGGAACAGGCACCTGGGCTACTATGCATAGCAGGGAAACTGACAGACTTCACCAGGCCACGTGCATGGCTCGGGGCTCCCGGACGGGGCAGAGGGTTAGGCAGAAGGAGCGGGGCTAGGGGCTAGTCTTCAGCGCCGCCCAAGGCCCCAGAGTCGATTTAAAAAGCCTGGGACTCTGGCAGCTTTTAAATTGCCAGCCCCTGGGGCAGCTTCTCCTCGCCCCCGTCAGCGGCCCCGGTGCACAGGAATGGAAACCAGGCACTAATTAACAACCGACATTCCTATTGACACATTCCAAGGGGAGGGTCTGGTGCCTGCGTTTTCCCAGGGGCTCCTGTCAGATCTTCCTTTGAAAATCTAGCCCGAAAGCCATTGATCCAAGAGCCCACAGGTTGTTTTGTGACTGGAAAGTTCTCTGCATGGGCACAGCGCTCAGATTCTACTTACAACTGTGTGTGGAACACCACCACCAGCACAGAAAATCCCACTCCGACGGCGAGTCCAAATGGCAGGCCCAAGAAGAAAGCCGACAGGAAACTCACCAGCCAGACCAACTGTGGAAAGACAAGAATAGCAGGTCATTTTTCTGTGGCACAGAGAAGGGTTCCCTGTAAGCTGTGTGCTTTTGCTGTCATTCAGGAGTGATTCAAATGCCACCCAGCTGATTAGCAGAGCACTCACTGCCAGGTTTTCTGTTTCTACTGGTGGTGCACATTTGCACATGCCTTTGTGCACATACAATTTTATTCTGCACATGGATGGAAAAGATTAGAGGTGGACACTCTGATGAAACATTTGCAAGGTCATCTGGACTGGAACTCAAATCCCTATTGGTTGGGGATTAAAAAACTCGATCTAAATTTTACCTCTTAAGCCCGTTTCTAGTGGTAAGTAGCTGTCCGGAGCACAAAAACAAAAAGAAAATGTTTTCACGTACGGTGTCTGCTCTTGGGACACTGAGGCACGTTTGCCATAAACTGAAGTTCCTCAGCATGGGCGGTAGGTGAACGCCCATCTGCAGAAGGCAAGCTCCATCCTCGTCCCATCCCTTCTGCCCGAGGCCCCGCCACTGCAGCCAAGCTCTGCCCACCCCAGCTCGATCCTTCCTGGTCATATGGAGGGCTGGCACTGCCATGCTGCACCGCGGCCCCATTCCTTCCAGGTGGGTGGAGAATCTGAGCTGCTGTGCCATGGCTCCAGCCTTCCCCGGCGGCAGCCCCAGCCTGTGGTGGTCGGGCATGTAGGAAGTTTTGGGAAGTCTGTGTCTTCCCTGGCCTTCATTACCAGCCACTCATGTTCCTCAGCTTTAGAAAGGTGTCTGTACATTAGTATAGTACTTCGTAAACCCCTCAGTAACCAGACTAGTACCTTTTTCACTAGTCAAGACAGGACGTTTGCTGTTTTCTAATGTATTTCCAATCTAGTCGCATCTTTCTGAATGCCCCTGCTGCTGATCAGCTGGCAGTCTTGTAGCAGAGATGTGTTTCTACTTGAAAAGATTTTTTAACAGCTGGTAGATACGTAACTGATATGGAAGCAGTGCCCTCTGAGAAACATTACACAGTTGTCGTCTCGCCCACAACGGGAGTAACGGGCCTGATTCTGATTTCATTCACACCAGGGTAACACCATTACATTCAAATCCCAGATATAAGGTGGTATGAGACAGAGGAGAGAGCAGCAGAACCAAATCATTTTATCAATGACTTCTCCTCCTCATAAGTCCTTTCTAAACTATGTGATACCTGAACAGTGATCCATGCAGCCAGTTCTCAGGTGAAGCACAACAGCTATTTGATATCACATAGCAAAGCTGTGACAACAGTTTAGAACAGGAAGTGGAGAAGGTCACTGTATCCAATAGAAATTCCAGGGAAGATTGCACCAGCATGCAATTAAACTAACTGAAAATTGGCCAGAATACCAGGATCAAGCCCTCTTGTGTTCCAAAACAGCAGAGGGCAATCTTTCTTGACATTTTGATCCAAAAGACAGTACAGCTTGGACCTACATCAGTAAGATGGATCTGAACTCAAAAACTGGACCCAAGCCCCTAGAACTTTATGGAAATTCAAAGATAGATCCAAACTTCGGGTCTATTTGGATCAGGGTGAAAATAGGTGTTTTTAAAATCAGGTTAGTTGATATGACTCAAGTTTGTCTGGACTAGGAAACCTGGCTTGGTTTAGATTGAGTTTAATGAACAAGTTGGCTAAACCTAACCTAATTTCAAATGCTTTTGGTAATCAAGACTAATCTTTAAGCTCTCCTGTATGCCACAACAAAACCAATTGGCACCGTTTTAACAGCGTTAAACTATGTCTAAACTAGCTGTTAACATGGCCTTTCAAGTCAGGTTAGCTCCCTTGGTTTAGAGAGGTACCTTTTTGACTAGTCAAGACAGAGAGTTTGAGCTTTCTATGCTTACAGGTTTTGTTGTTTTAAGGGTGCTATAGTGCAGGTGCAATTATATCAGTATAAAAAAAGTGGTTATACTGGTATAGTTTGTTTCAGTTCAAGTATTTAAAAAAGCTATATTGATATAAGGCACCTTTATCTGACACAGAGATGGCGATAACATGGTTTGCCAGGGTTAGCCCCTGGCGGGTCGCCGCCACTATATTTACTTCCGCCTCCGCAGGTACCGGTGATCGCAGTCCCTGTTGGCCGGGGGTCGCTGTTCCCGGCCAATGGGAGTGGCATGGACTGGGACACTGCTTCCAGGTCTCATTGGCTGGGAATGGCGATCTGCAGCCAACAGGAGCTGTGATCGCCAGTACCTGGATGCGGACAGGTAAATATAGTGGTGGGGAGCTAACCCTGGTGGACCAGATCCGGTCTACGGGCTGGTATTTGCCCACCCTTGATCCAACAGAACTGCACCCACTACGTTTTTTACTGGGATAACTATGAATATGCCTATGCTACAGCAGCATAGATGCAGCAGGATAATACAGACTGTTACT